GCCGACAAGTCCCAGGAAACCGACATCCTGACACCGGCACATGAGATTTGTTTATAGTGGTGAAGGCCTTGTGAAGGACCAGCCACACTTTTTGGAGGACGAATACAGAAACCTGGTGCACCGAATGCATGCCACAAGGTTCCCCAAACGACCCTCCGCAGGTTTTGAATTCAGAGTTGTCCTTCTCCTAGACCAGTTGCCATCCAAGGCTATAGAACCCAGTCTGTCCTGCTATTTTACCCATAGCTGGAGGGAGATGAAGAGGATACATACCTTTCCCAAGGGTATTAGCACGTAAGTGAATGCAGTGGATTCGACTGGAATTCGAACTCGGCTCTGCGATTCCTCAATCCAAGCTGCTCCACCGTGCCTCCTATATATATATTAATGTCCTACACGGTATTCAGTGCGCGAAATGGAACCCTATTTTTAATCTTTACTAAATTCCGCTAGTGTTTTGTAAAAGAGAATTTGGAATCTGCAAGAGTTTAGTTGTTATGCGAGGTAAGTCAGAATTTATGCACACTTTTGCCATAACACATTTGTAAGTTTGTCACACAGTCATCTGTTCATGCGTGCTTATAGTTGCTACTATAGATTTCTTGCTGCTGTTACAGTGTAAACATGTCCGCTTTGCCAGTAGTATTCACCAAAGAGGAACAAAGAGCAGTGACCCGATTCAGCGGAGAACATGCCGCCTCATCGATAAATCGACAGATCGCCATTACCATCTCTTGTGCGTGTTGAATCTTCTCGTCATTGGTAAGAGACGACCGTACCCTGCTCCTCCTCCATGGGTCACGCTAGTCTGGTCACAATTAAAATTCACACGTCTACGCGGCAGTGCACTGTCGCGGAAACTGTGCTAAAAGCCACCTATGAATTTCAGCCAGTGACCCAACTTCCGACCTGAAAAATCGGATCACTGCTCTTTGTCCCTTGTTAGTGTACACTGCTAGCAGAGCGGCCATGTTTACACTGTAACATCAGCAAGAAAACTGGTACGATCAACACTATTTACATTATTCGAACTATTGTTCTTATCTTTGCTGCCATATTTATTACAACGTTTCGGTCATTGTAAGCTCCGACCTTCAGGTAGTTCGAATGTTGAACTGAAATCTTCATTTCGCTCGCTGGGGTAGACTGTTCTAGTTCCACGTGCCACGTATAATGGATATCAGTTATCAGTTATCTCCTGTTAATTCCCCTTTCAAAGTTCTCCACTGCCTTAAGGACACATGGCACAGTGTATAAAGGCGTTGGTTAGATCCGGTGATAGGACAAAAATAGTTGTGAGTTAAATACTTCAGAATGCACCACAAGTTTTCGATTGGGTTTAAGTATGGAGAAATGATCAGTCATTACGAGGTCCACAAAAACCTCAATGTTGTAGGTACTCCATAGTTTTATCCGCTGCATTCGAGGGAGGATTATCTTGCATAAATCCTGAATATGATCCTTTGCTTTTTAAAGCGAGGTTTAAGGAAGGTTAAGTAAGCATCTTCAGTCATTTTAATACCGCCACCATGAGATCTCCAATAATACTAGTCCGAATCATGATACCCTCTTCTCCATGTTGCCGTCTCAAGCGTTGATGACGATGTCGTCTGTTTACGACCGAGTCTTTGCTTCAACCGTCAGGGCCATCAGTGGTAGCACGAGATTCGTCTGTGAACAAAACCTTTGAGAAATCGACCTTAATGCTATCTTCTGCCCATTTCAGATGCTTTTGTACGTGTCTTTCCCGAAGTTTTTCAGTAGACAACATCGAGTAATTATAGATACAGTTGTTTTTCCAGTGCTTTTGAAAATTTCTCCGCTGATAAGGTCTGGGTTATTTACAGCTTCAAGCTTAATTTGCGACAGAGAACGTCGGGAAACAACCCTATAGTGACTCATATCGATCCACTTACGTATCTTCGTAGGAGTTGCAACAAATCTTTTCACAGTCTGGTGATATCTTCCAATCATTTTCGTTATTTCCAATGTTGATTTACCTTTTTCAAGCCACAAGTGCGACCAATAATTGCCCCCGATTATAAAGTCACGAGTTAATAGTATGGAAAAGTGAAGTATCGCGTAATGCATGCGCCATATCTTACAGTTTTTACACAGTACGCGCATATAACTGTTGCCATCATTCTATTAAAAGTTTGTTAAATTCCAACGTGTAGATTTTAAACAAAATGGAAAATTGTCACCTCGTTATTAAAATGTTAGACAGTATATATATATATATATATATATATATATATATATATATACCCACGAAAGAATAAAATTCAGAGGGAAAGATTTGTAAACAGATGATAAAAAAGAACAATGCTAATAAAGCAAAGATCTTTTATGAATCGATCACTCTGAGTCACTGGCGTGTTTATTCAAGAATAAATAAGTAAACATTCACCTTCCTCTCCGTCGGGAGCTGGTAGCTTAGGGGAAATTTTTCAGACTGATGCCAAATCAGTCGGGTTTCGATCCTGGCTTGAGGCAATCGGATGTCTAGCCACACCGATGAGATGTGATACAGCGAAACAGTCTGTTTATGGATGGCAATATATATATATATATATATATATATATATATATATATATTAAGAGGGTCTGTAGTTTTCTTGTAACAGCAAGCAAAAATATTTCTTGTTTTCAATGATTTCACACGTGTTCCTGGTCTTTCTCGAAACTAGTAGAGAATCTAAATGAAAATAATAATAAAAAATTTTTTCGAAAGAATGTTAATCTACAACCATTCAGTGTGTCTGAAGATTTTTTTTTTAATATTTTTTTATTGTTCAAAATATATATATGTATGTATGTGTGTGTGTGTGTGTGTGTGTGTGTGTGTATATATATATATATATATATAATGATGGCCAACTGATTTAAAATATGTTTTTTTCACTACAATTCTAACCATGTTTCTAAAATGGAAGCTGAAAGATCTTCAATTTAATTTTTTATTGTAAATAAATTATATATACATTAGTTCCATTTCATCCTCAAGCGAATTTTGGAGTAACTTTTAAAAAAATACTGCGTTTTTAAAGACACAGCAAGAATCATAATTATTGTTTCCACGGATACAGAGAAATCCAATTCAACCAGACAAGGGGTGTTTGCGTGTTCATTATCGCTGTATTTTGATGTATCAGTTATTAGTTACGTTTTGTTAGGGGGTAGGGATGTATTTTTCATTGAAATCTGACATCCGTTAAATGCATGTCATCTGGATTTTTTTTCTCTGGTGTGTGTCTGTGTGTGTCTGCAGACACCGATATAGTACTTGTTCCGTTTAGATAATCGTTTAATTCCTTTGTGTTTTGTTGCTGCGTTGAGTGACATAATTGTTCTGTAGCAAAATTGGTAGTATGCCCAGTAATGAATACGCCAGATTATCGGGATAAATATAATATAAATTATCTGACATTTTAACATAAAGCACTTTTTGCTGTGTGCCATCATTTTAGACTCCTTTCGGAGGTACGTTTACGGATTAAAATATACACACACACACACACACACACACACACACACACACACACACACACACACACATATATATATATATATATAATTATTTATTTTAAAAAATATGATTCCAACGCTACATAAGAGTTCTCATGATGGAACAGAGTTTAGTACTTTAATTCAATTTAATTCAAACAATTATATTGAAGATTTCGGCTCTTGTTTTGAAACATGAGAACTCTTTTGTAGCGTTAGAATCATATTTTTAAATAAATAATTATATTTAGGCTCTACTTTTGTATCGAGCACTATTTTTTAAAAATAATAAAAAAAATACTAAAGAACTTTGCATTATTTACTTAACGAGTTATTTCCTATTTTCTATATATTTTTACACACACACACACACACACACACACACACACACACACACACACATATATATATATATATAAAGTTGCAAATTTAAAAAATAATGTTTTATTTTATGAAAGTATTTATTTATTTATATATATATTTGACACTTCAAATTGCCTCAATCTTTCATCAGAAATAACTGTTTGTTACAAATAAATTAAAATTACTGTTTGTTAGCAAGTAGCGTCCTTCGAGAGACGCGGACGTCACGTGATATGGAACGTCACTGTTCGGATATTCCTAACTTAAATCAAACTGTCATAAATATTTTAAATGTTGTTTAAAAAAAATTTTTTAACTATATCTAAAAAAAATGGCTTAGCTATTGAAATATTTATAAAGATTTAAAACACCGAAGTCCCTATTCAACCCTAGTTTATGTGTATTTAATTTTAAAATCCAATATGTTTCTTTTTTTTCCGACAGTATGAAGAAAAATATACAGAAAAAACAAACAAAAATCTTAATATGCATTTATGCTGTATTAATGTTAATATAAAGTCGACGTCGGACGTTTCGGTCTATTTTAATATTTGGAAATCATCTTCGAATACGTTTTCACAACATCGCCCACGTGACGACAACGTGATCATATGTAAACGGAACGCTGATCATATAAAAATATCAGTTATCTGTTTGGATTAGTTGTGCTCTTGTGTCCATCGTCTTTTCATATTGAATTTTATATGTTCTAATGTTAATTATGTTTAAATGAAAATGTCCTGAAAGATGGTCTAAAATAGACCGAAACGTCTGACGTTGACTTTATATTAACATTAATACAGCATAATTGCATATTAACATTTTTTTGTTTTTTTCTTCATATTTTTATATATATATATATATATATATATATATATATATATATATATATATATATATATATATATATATATTATGTATCTGTTGACCAGCTTATATATTAATATATTCAAGGGATTTTATATAAAACCAGCATTTTTTATTATTATCATTTCTCATCACCATGGCGTCAGCGAATGAAGAATCTCTGGTTGCGTCTTCCAGAACGTAACAGTGTGACCAAATTGCTGCTATTTGTCGGTAGTAAATAGACTACGTCCGCTTCATTAATTCGCCTCAAGCTTTCGGATATGCGAGGCGCCAGGAAGTCTCAAAGTGTGCAAGTTGTATCTGCTGCTATACAGAGGGTAGCCACACGAACGATAATATTTGTGTTTGATGTGAACAACATTATTCATTTATCAAAGTCTATTTCAATCAATTTTTATCAAATTTAGACGGTAACGCAAACAAATAAATACAATAAATACTTCTGATTCCTACTCATCTATCTATATAGTTATCTCTCCCATTCTGTTCCTATCTATCTATCTATCTATCTATCTATGAATATATATATATATATATATATATATGTTCCTATCTATCTATCTATCTATCTATCTATCTATCTCTATTCATATCTATCTATCTATCTTCATATCTATCTATCTATCTATCTCTGTTCATATCTATCTATCTATAATAGGTGAAACAGAGTAGCAGGAATCTATATCTCTTACTTTCATTCTTTCTGCCTATTCATCTATCTATTTATATCTATCTATCTATATATGTTCATATCTATATATATCTATCTATCATATCTATCTATCTCTCTCTCTCTCTCTCTCTCTATATATATATATATATATATATATATATATCTGTCCATATTCATTCTATCTCTCTTCTATCTATCTATCTATCTATCTATCTATAATAGCAGATATATATATGAATCTATCTATCTCTATCTATAATAGCAGAGTAGCATGAATCTATCTATCTATCTATCTATCTATCTATCTATCTATCTATGTTCTTATCTATATCTATCTATCTATATATATATATATATATATATATATATATATATATATATATATATATATATATCTTGGCTGAAATGCAGTTGCAGGAATCTATCTATCACTTTTTTGTACTATATATCTATCTACGAAGGCGGAACGGCAGTTGCACGTATATTCCAAATAAAATTTTCTTCAGATCATGACCCTTGGGTCAGGCATAACTTTGGAGTTGAAAATTCACTACCACACGCCCCGACTGGCTCATCAAGATCATACGATACAAAGAAACACTATAGTTTGATATTTATTAATGTGGAATCGAGTATTATTAAACAAACCTACGGATGAAATTCCTGCATGCTTTATATTTTTTTCTTTATTTTCAACTCATACTAACGGAAATATTTATAGTTTCATTTAATGTGGATTCGAACAAAAATACTTGGTGCTTTGTAAGTGAATTTCAAAGACAATATTTAGATATTTGTACACAATAGTTATTCAAAGGTATTTCGGCCATTTCGCTCCAGCAACTTTCCCCATCTTTCAAGATTTATTGTTCCAACCTCCCAATATGTGGCATCTTCCTGGGTAAGGAACTAGTTTAATATTAAGAATATATGGAAATATATTATGGACATAAGATTACAATATATTATACAGGATGGTCCGAAAGTCTTGTCACCATACATAATGTAATATTCTATTACAGATAGCTGACACAAAAATGATGGTGTTCATACAAACCCTCTCGATGGGTGACAGCGTCAATGAAATTGAATAAGCTGAATCCAGTACACGTGCTTAGTATTATTGCATTACTTATTCTTCTATTGCTCTCATTAATTTTTGGTAGGGGTGACAAGACTTTCAGACCACCCTGTAGATCCTATTGAGAAGTAAATTAACTATATGTTATATAACCATATTATAGAAAACAATAGACGTGTCGTGGCTCACCTTGGTCTCTTCTACAAGAATTTTCACGGCAACTACTCCGAGCTATTTTCGCTGGTTCCCATACTGCATGAATTTAAGCGAACTACTAGGCTAGCATCGTGGTTCTAGCCCTTTTACTGTCAGAACGGTTTAATGTAAGCGTCTCTTCTACTCATAGAGTAACTTCTCCCACACTTCTCGTCTGTGGAACTCCCTAGCTCTTATATGATCCGTTGATAACAATGATCTTCAAATATTCAATCGACATCTTCTGATGCCAAGATCTTGTTCCACGTCCTTCTTTATATCCTCTCCCCATATATGTCTCCTTACTCTTGTTTTCAATTCTTTGTAACGTCTTGCGCGCTAGTGGCACTCTTACCTTGCTTGGGGTGAATTACTTAAAAGAAACACTACATATATATATATATATATATATATATATATATATATATATATATATGGGATGTGTGTATGTGTGTGTGTGTGTGTGTGTTTTTTAGACGGATTTGCACCAAAATATACATGCACATGCTCCAAGTTAGCGGCAAGGTCAAGACCGACTTTGCATTTCCCAACCCCCATCGATAGTGAAAATGATCGATTTTTTCATGCTTCTACGACAGTTTTCATGTAGTTTGCGGCCATTTTCTACTGGCCTGAGTGAGAGTCTATAGCTGGCTGCCACGAATAGGCAGGAAGATTCTATTGGCCAGCGTGAGAGCCAACAGCTGACTGACACGAATGTTAACTTGCATGCATGCAAAAAAAAAAAATTCGATAGCTGCATTCGTCACAAGTGGGAAAAATTTAAATCTGCATGGCACTTTACTCCAATTGGTTCATTCGCTTGCTTAAAATCAATGTTGATTCTGATTCAGCAGAACTGGGTTGGGTGTGAAAAAGTATTTGTTGTTAACATTCTTTTTTCATTCGATTTTTCCAGTTACCAGTCCTTTCTTAAAGCTGATCATTTTGTGTTTCTTTTTGTTTAGTTCTTTTTTCGTAATAGATTTAATGTTTAGTATAGAGCTTAGAAAAAATTCGCAGTGTGAGATAGGCAAGAAGTAAGGCATGTAGCAACACAGCACGGCAAAGGGCACTCCTTTAAAGGCAAGGAAGGGCAAAAATATTTCAAGTCAAGTGATAGCGATTGCTGTATGAGTCGTACGATTTTTGAATCAAGCCCGGGTAACGCCGAGCCATACTGTCACTATATATATATATATATATATATATATAATAAAAAAAAGGCTTAAACCCTATTCCATGGTCATAATTTATTCCATTGGTATTACGATCCAAATCATCAGACCTACAAATTCAAAATGAAAACAGACAAAAACAACTCCGTCAAAACAGAATTTAGAGAAAGTGAATGGAGGAGGAGGAGATGAAACCTCAGAGAGAATTGTAGGAGATGCGGGGATTTAAAAAGGGAGAAAGAAAGTTACGGATGTCTAATGCTAAAGATACATTTCGTGGTGACATACACACACCATAGACAATTTGGATAGGAGGAAAAAAAAAAAAAAAAAAGAAAGAGGTAGGGGAGAGAGATGGGACGAAGGAAAATAAAATTGTGTTTACTTAAAGGCATTAATTGAGAAAATTTGACAAATTCAATCGATGTTTCCAGGTTATTAATCAAAATATAAATAAAAAGATGAATATAACGATTGTCTAATTTACCCAAATATTTCTATGTTCAAAAACACATACTAATACACACAAAAACATATACAAGTAACATACACTTAGGCATGTACTCACACACACACAGACATACGTGTACACACACACACACATACATACATATATATATATATATATATATATATATATAAAAAAACCTAAAAAAATATTCACATATCCACAAGGTGGGTTCATCTATATTCATATACACACTTTTCACATACATATACACGCATACATATGCCCCCATGCATATATTCATACATACATACAGTTACATACACACACACACACATATACACATACATATACATTCATATAATATATATATATATACATACATATATATATATATAATATACCCATAGATACACGCACATACACATACACACATACATAACATATACATTATACACACACATATACACATATATATATATGCAATGCAAATACATACACACCCCACACATGTATATATATACACATGCAAATACATACACACCCCACACATGTATATATACATACACACACATACACACACACATAAACATGTATATACATAAGTACACATACATAGCCATACATATACATACATAAACACCTCCATACGTACATATGTACACACTTATATACATTTACACATATACACATATATCCACATATACATACATATATACATACAAATATACACACATATATACACATACATACATATACACATACATACATATAAATACACATACAGAGATACATATATGTACATATATATAACAAGTTAAAATCTAAACACACAGCAAATATATGATGACTCAGGATGTCTATAAAATAGTTAAACAATTAGCCGAAAGAGCATATAAAAAGAATAACTACGTGAGGAGAAAAACTCTAAGGACTTTCGAAAGACAGAATAAAAAGGTTTTCCTTATCCGTTGCATTCAATGAAACATAGAAACATGTATAAAATAAAGCTTACTGGCAAATATGAATTATATATATATATATATATATATATATATATATATATATATATATATATATATATATATATATATATATATATATATATATGTGTGTGTGTGTGTGTGTGTGTGTGTGTGTGTGTGTGTGTGTGTGTGTGTGTGTGTGAAAATATATAGAAAATAGAAAGAACTCATTAGGTAAATAATCCAAAGTTCTTTAGTACTTTTGCTATTATTTTTAAAAAATGTTTTGAAGCATGAGAACTCTTATGTAGCGTGTTGGAATCATATTTTAAATAAATAATTATATATATATATATATATATATATATATATATATATATATATATATATATTGTGTAGTAGCATCGTTATCCGCCACCTGATGAAACGTTAAAACAAATTAACGTTGAAACAAGATGTATAGTTTTGTAGTGGGAAGTTTCATGTTCTAATGTAACACTGCATAACAAACAGATATTTATTGGTCTACTTTTTTATTGAGCACTGTCTTAAATTAGTGTTTTGAACGCTGAAATCTTACTTTTCGTTCTTTTTCACACACACACACACACACACATATATATATATATATATATATATATTGGTGATAATAATAATATATTTTTAATACTGAGTCTGCTGCTCAGCGTTTCATGAAATAACAAGCTACAAGAGGAACAACCAAACGAATCTCTCATTTTACTTATATAATACAGAGCCAAGTATTCCTATTCCGGATGTTTATTTGTAATAATTTGTAATAAAGGAAACGAGTATATGACCGCATGCCGTTATGATAACAAATATTTGTTTAAGAAATACCCATCCTAGGTATCAGTTACCTGCTACCACTAGAGCATATAAATTAAATGGTATATTGGTTCCGTAGTTCCGCTTGATGATTGTTACATAGTGTTACTAATATTATTATTTTATATTTACACTCTGATGACTTTGGTACTGGGACGTCAGTTATATTTTAAGCTTCTTAGCTTATTTTAAAATTTCGCTTTAGTTCCTGGTAGTTGCATATATATATATATATATATATATGTATATATATATATATATATATATATATATATATTCTCAGCAGGAAATATACCCAATAACAACCTTGAGCGCTTAGCTTATGAGCGGGTAGAATGGAGATCAACGTGTTTTAGTGGACTCAGCAATTTTCAATCTGTTTGTCTGAATCATCTTCAAGAAGCGAGAGCAAGATCTAAAAGGTCAGCCAATCTAACAGTGATCTCACCTCACAATCCTCACACTTGTAAATCACTAGCGGGTTTTAAATGCCATTTAAGATTATCGCACACACTTTCATAACTGAATCAACAAGCTGTCAGA